TTTGCTAGTGCATTCTGATTTGTTAAAATACAGTTCATAGATCTTGCTCTTAACTGGCCTTGCTTAAGCCTTCTTGTCATTGACTCTTCTAATAAACCTGGTGTATTTAGTCTTACTAGCAACTCTAAAATGTGATGCTCCATATTTCTTTTCCAAAGACTTTTGAGGTTTGTTAATAAGATTTATATACTTTAATTAGATTAATACAAATAAATAAAATTAAATAATTGATAGTAAAATACTAGCTATTTTTAAAAGCTCAGCTAATTAATTTATAATAATTTTCTAAACTATAGTAATTATTTTTTGGGTTTTGTTATTTTATAAATAGTAATTGTTAAAATGCTATAGATTTATTTTCTAGACTATTAAATAAATAACAACAATTACAATTTATAAATTTATCTAAATTCAAAAAGTATAATTTAGTAATTAAAGTTCTATTTTATAAATCATCATAGTTTATAGTTTTGAACAATTACTTTACGATTACAAGTAATTGTCCTGTTAATTTTTAAGAAACTTATGTAATTGCTTTTTTCTTAATCTTAAATATAAGCATATAAGTTGATTAAAGTATTTATATTATGCCAAATTGAATATAGTTATTCAAAGATTAAATAACTAACTTGTTTTAACCATTATATTAATAAACAGCCTATTTGATTACTATTATTTTCTAATTTCTATTTAGTGCTTTTTAAAAAAATATCTAGGCAATTAAATAAAAATTAACATCACAATACCTAAAAGACATACAAAAGTTCGACTTAAAGTACTATGTTATTGCAAATTATGTAATGGTAAACTTGTAGATACCAGAACTAGAAAAGTTTATAATTTAATAAAAATACAACACCAAAATTTACTTACTGAATTAATAGAAAGTGATATTTAAGATAGAGATTATCATAATAAAGAGTCTTTTGCTAAAAATTTATGTAAAAAGCGAAAATATAATAGATTCTGCAATACCAATAATACTAATATTATTCTAAACTTGAAATCTAAGCAGCAAATTTATTTATTAAATGATTTATCTAATGAATCTTTAAACGATAATAATATTAATATTTTTGCTAAAACTTCTAACGCTTTAAATAATTAATTTTAATTTGAATATTCAAGTATCAAGAAAGATTTCAGCTTCTAAATACCGCAATTGAATCACTTATAAAATATTTTAGATTAGTTTTAACAGATGCTAATAGAATATAGTTTAAGAATTTTCCATCAACTGCTTATATGGCCAAGAAGTTGCTGAAAATTAAGAAAAATAATAAAATAAATAAAAGCTTTACAACTTGCCCTAAGTATAACTAATTGTATAATATTAATATTAATCATTCAGAGTTTAAATATACTCATATTAAATTTTCTAATCATTTATTGCAAACCCAATGCCAACCCTGTGAATCTGATGTGCTAATTAGAATTTCTATAAGTAATAAGTATATTTGGTGCTTCAAAATAGTATACCCAATACTATGTTTAAAGATCCAAATATCTACACTATACCAAAGACCAGAATTTGAAAAACTTCTATCCAAATAGATAAGCCGTAGCAATAAATTTTATTTATCTAATATATATAATGGAAAAGTTTGAAAAACTTTTCTATCAAATATTAATAATTTAAACCAATTATTTTTTACATCTGAATTTGCAGACTTATATTTAGGAATAATGATAAATATAGACTAGTTTCAACTATTTAAATCTGCTTCATATAGCTGTGAAGTAATATATAGGGTAATTTGCAATCTACTATGAAATATTTGATTTAAAAAGGAAAATAAGTTAATTATTGCTATATTACCAGGACCAAAAGAGGTTAAGACATATAGAATTAACAATTATCTTGCTCCAGTTATAGATAATTTTTTAGAATTTTGGAATGGTATTAATTTACCAATCTATAATTATCCTTCTGGTAAAAATATTAGAATGGCAATAATTTGTTGTAGCAATAATATTCTAGCTGCAAGAAAATTATGTGGCCATATTTCGGTATTAGTCGGATATCATAAGTGTATTTTTTTTATTTTTTATTTTATTTTACCTTATTGTTTTTCTTATTTTATTTTTTTGTTTAAATGTAGGTGTTATAAAAAGGCAAGTGGTAAAAAAGGTCAAAGACCAAATTTTGGAGATTTTAATAATATAACTAATTGGTTTTGGACAAAAGATCCTATAAAATATTGTCAAAATGCCTTAATTTGAAAAAAACAATTAACAGAAAATAACAAAAAGCAACATATTAGCCAAACATATATTAGATAGTCAAAAATGCTCCATTTACCTTATCACAATCTAATAAAACATTTAGTTGTTAATCTGATACACTATCTGTTTTTGGGGGTTGTGTATATATTTGTAAAAAAATTATTAATTGATGGTAGAAAAATTTCAAAACATAATCTTGAATTAATAGAACAACGAGCAAAAAATATAAAACTACTAGCTAATTTTGAAAGAATCCTATTTAAAATTGCAACTAGTGAAGGGTTTTTTAAGTTTACAGCTAACTAATGAAGATCTTTTATTATAGTATATTCAATTCTGTTGATATGGGATCTTTCAGATATCCAAGACAAAAAAATTTTAACAAACTTTGTAAGTGCTTGCTTTTTGCTAGAAGTATGATTTATTAACATTAATGTGTTAAATAAGGCACAGTCTCGATTATTACAAGTTGCTTACTTAATAGAAAAAAATTATAGCCCAGAGACAATTACTCCAAATATTCATCTGTCACTTCATATAATTGAATATTGTCGAGACTACAATCTATTATACTCCTTCTGGTGCTATTCATTCAAAAGAATAAATGGAATTTTGAGTAAGTGTTTATATAATAAATTTTATATTTATATACTTGCTAGCAAAACTATGTGATACTAAATTTTTATATCTTATACTAGTTTAATAGGTGGCGCTTTGCGCTATCTATCTTATACAGAATTTAACAACTATTGCAATACGCACAGTATGTAATTAGAATCTATTAGAATTATCATTGATACAGAATTTACTCATTAATACAACTAATACAACTAAATTTGTATTAAAATTATCAATTTCTACTATTAATTAGTGTAAAAATTCCTATTACTAAACTTTTTACTCTAGTGACTATGATATGTAGTTATAATTAAGTTGATATTATTGTGATTTTTGCAAAGTTACTACAAAAACTTTGTTACTTATTTGGCAACAATAATATGTAATTAAGTTAAGTTAGTTTGTATTGAAAATTTCATAATTTCTATAATGGGATACTGTAAATTCTATCATAGATTTACTACTTCAGCGAATATAGTATATAATCAAAGCTATTTTGTATTTGAATTATTGAGATATAGTTAATATGTATTGAAATTATATAATTTTATCACCTTATAAAATTTTTCGAAAAATGTATTCTGACTTTCTCCAGACTATCACTTTATTATCATTTTAGAAATGCTTGTTTTCAGAACAAACCATATACAAATTCATGGTTATTTTGATAGAATTCTGATAAATTTCAGATAAGATTCAGCTTCTAATTATATAATGAAGTATAAAAGATAAAATCAAATCTTACCTAAAATTTACTGGAGTTCTATAGAATGACCAGGAATTTGTATATAGTTTATTCTAAAAATAAGCATTTTCGGAATATTAATGGAATGATAATCTAGAGAAAGTCAGGATATGCTTGTGAAGCCTTTTCTAGGGTCATTAGGAGGCCGCCAGAAATTACCTGATTTCAGTTTACTATAGGTGCTACCCCCCTCCTCCCCACCTGACTAGAGCTCCAAACCAAGATATACAAATGAGTTATCCGGGATAAATTGAGCAATTATCTATAGAAATGGTCTGTATTATTATTTGACAAGCTATTTTACAGATGATTAATTTACCAATAAGTTCATTTTAATGCTATCTGGTAACAAATTTAACCGGATAGCATAAACTATATAATACCACTACAAGACTTAATATTAAAGGATGCAGCAGGTGCAGTATTATAAAATATAAATAAAGCTAAATTTGCTCTTTATTAAAATTTAATTAAAATGAATCCACAAGTTTTAAACAACTTTTTAAATTTTAAAAATGAATATTTATGACAACTTGATTTTCATATTGTTAGAAATTATTATCCTCTAATTAATATTTATAATAAAGAAATTCAAATACATTATATTAAAATTAATGAAATATTTTATTTACAAGTTAAATTAAAAAATAATTTAACATTTCTTTGTGATATTAAACAATTAAAACTTATTAAAAACTATAATTGGAATATTCAAAAATATAAACATAATTTTTATGTTGAAACACATAAAAACAATAAAAAAATTCTCTTTCATTGAATGATTTATCCAGAATGGGTGATAATTGATCATATTAATCAAGATGGATTGGATAATAGAAAATGTAATCTTAGAGAAAGTAATAAAAGTGATAATGCAAAGAATCGAAAAATTCGTAAAGGAAATAATACAAGAGTTAATGGTATTAGTTTAGAAAAAGATATATTATTGAAAAAATAATAAAAAATATAATAAAAAGATTCAATATAAATGATGTGGAAAACTTAAAGCATTTATTAAAGCAGTTAATTTTAAAGTAGATTTAGACAAGAAATTAAATATTACTAGTGGGTATTTTAATTTTCAACCTCGATTTTATTTAAATTAAATTTTATATTTATTAAATAAAAAAAACAAATACATAATTAATAAATACAATATTTCAAACTTATTTAGTCTAAATAATTAATAAGAAAATTGAAATGTTTATATGCAATTTCATCATCATAATTTAAATTTTGTTCAGCTTTAACTATATTTTCTAATAAATTTTCTTTTTTTTTATAATTAATGAAACTAATTAATCTATTTCTGTTAATAGTAATAGAGCATAACTGATTAAATTCATAAATTTCTTCTAAAATTTTATCTATAGAATTAGAAAAAGAATTAATACAAATAGTAGCTTTCTTATATCTTTTTAAATTAATTGTATATGTTGAAGTAATTTGGCTTGATGTTTTTACAATTTCTGCTTTATATTCATTATCACTACTTAAAAAATCTTTATCATTTGACCAAACATATTTATTATAATTATTTAATGATAAAGTATCATTTAAAGGACAATATGCCTCAAATTTAAATTTTAAGGATTCAGATACTTTGAATAAAAATTTAAATTCAAGAATATTAGTTTGATTATAATAAGTTATTTCTATTTTTTTTTAATTTGTATAGTATAAATCAACTATATATATAATAAATTAAATATATTAATTACTTTAAATTATTTATATTTGATAATTCATATTTGTTAATCTAAATTATTTATATATATATATTTGATAATCTAATTAGTGAGTGAATATATAGCTTAAATTAGATCTATATTATATTCTATTTATAGATCTTTGTTTACATTCTAGATCTACATATTATATTAATTTATATATTTGTTTATCAATGTTTTATATTATTATTTATATTTATGACATTCTTTTTTCTTTCACAAATATCTTTTTAAATACTTTTACAAACAGTTTTTTAAACAGTTTCGTAAATATTTTTCTTAAACACAGTAGATATTACTAGGTAAGGCCTAAATATTTTATGGTTTATGAATCATAAAATTTCATTCAGACCACTGGAGTTGTAAACCTTGTACTACTAACAAGGGTTGCTAAATTACCAATAAAAATTACAGCTGTCTAAATATTTAGAGTTCCTATTATATACTATTGGTTTTCTTAGTACAACTCTTGATAAAGAAACACTTTGGGTTATCTGATAGTTTTTTTATTGTAAGGTACTCTATATATGAAACGTCTAGTTGTTTTAGGTATTAGTAAGGAATTACTGCGAGCTGTGTGCTTTTACGTAATGAACTAATATTTTTTATTTATATTTTATAGATAATATAAATTAATTTTATTAAATATATTTTACATTATAACCATTTAAATTTTCTGTAATTTTATTATGTTTTAATTTTTTTGATAGATTTTTTCTATCTATTTTGTTGATTGCACAAGTTATTGTTTTGTATCAATTCTTTGTTTTTTTTAGAATTAATTTTAAAACATTCTATATTCCTTCTATTATATATTAATAAGCATATAAATATTTTAATTTAATAATAATTATAAATATAATGTTTAAATTATGTATTTTTAATTAGTAAAATGCTATCAAATAAAAAAAATCCAAATATTGATTTTCTTCTTGAACTTACTTTTATTACCCTTAAATTTCTTTGTGATATTGGAATTAAAGAAATCTCAAACGATGAACCTTTGAATCTTAAAAAAACTAATTCTAAAAAAATCTTTGATAATTTACGGTTATTAAACAGAGGTTTAAAACATGAATTTGAAGAATATTTTATTACAATATTTGAACAATGGTTCGATTTTAAAGTTATATGTGATAATTATATTTTATTATTAAAATTTATAGAATTATATATGAATACTTATAATTTTATTAATATTTTTCATTTTTTTACTTTACAACAAACTAAACCATTAGTTTTTTGGGAACTTATTATTTTAAACAGTTGTTTGATTAATTCTTATGAATATTCGATTGCAAATTTTTTAATATATTCACGTTGTTTAATTATTTTTGGTTTTATTTAAATAACAAAATTAGCTTTACAAGAAAATGTCACTGTAGTGAAATATTTTCAAGACTTATTGTTATAAAAAAAGATAATAATTGGGTTTATTTTTGTAAAAAATGTAGCTTTTATGAAATTATTCTTTTAAGTGATAAAAAAGAAAAGAAATTAAAAATAAAATTTAAAAATAAATAATAATATTTAATAAAGAAACTTTTAAACTATTTAAAGACTCTGTTTTCTATACTATTTTCTTTAAAAATGTCTTTAAATACTTTAAATAATATTTTTTTCAATGAAGAAAATTGTATTAATTTTATTCTTAAAAAACAATTGATTATACAACCAACTTCTTATACAGTTTGTAAACAAAATCTATATCAGTATAAAAAAACTTGAAGATATATTAATCCATTTTTAGAAAAGCAATTTCTATTTACAAAAATTCTTTTTTTTCTAAACATCATATTCTTTGTAATAATATTTTATTATTGGCATTTTTATGGGTATCTAAGATTCGATTTAAACAAATATTAGATATTACAAAATATAATAATAATACAATTTCTGATTATACTAAAATTTTTCGTGAACTAGCAATAAAATCATTAAATAGAGAAAATGAGATGTTAGGAGAAGGTATTATTGTGGAAATTGATAAATTGAAGTTTGAAGATTTATAGGTTGTAGGAATTACTGAAAGAAGAGGAATTAAGAAATGTTATTTTGAAGTTGTTAAAAATCGTAATTACTCTACACTTTTTAATTTTATAAAAAAACATATAAAGCCTAGTTCTATAGTTTATAGTGATTGTTGGAAAGGATATTGTAATCTTGATAGATTAAATATCAAATATATACATATAAATCATTCTAGAAAACCATCCCAAACACAAAGAATTAGACGTATTCATATAAATACTATAGAAGGAACTTGGAATGTTTTAAAATTAATGATTCCAAAAAGTAAAAAAAGACTTAGAATTATTGAGCCTTATCTAAAAGAATATAGTTGGAGATGCAAATATAAAAATAATCTTTGGGAATCTTTTCTCAAATTAATAAAATGAAAATTATAATATTTTTTCTAAATATTATTTTATTCATTTATACATGTTATTTGTGTTATGTTTTTGATAGTACATATATAAAAGTGTATAGTTTTATTAAATTTAAATTAAA